GCTATCGCTAGCGAGCTCAAACAGGCTGGTACTTCGATGCAAGTGGCGAGCAGCTCACCTGATATTGGCATCGACAGAGGCCGTCATGTCCACATCGGGAGGACCAGAGGCCTCCAGAGTTGGAACGACATGGTCCGGCGAGGCAACAGGATTGGCACCCTCAGGTGTTGAAAGCAACACGTCAGCCTCGAGCTCTTTAAGACAGGGGCAGTGCCCCAAGCCATGCACGAGTCCAGAATTTCCGGGGCGCTCCCCAGCCGTCTCAAAACGCTTCTGCAGGCGGCGGCGACATCTGCTTGTGAGCAAAAGCGAGACAAATGTTGAACTACGGTCCCGGCTCTCAATTCTTAGTCCCGCGATCCTGCCATAGTTGATTTGCTGGTTGACTGGCTCCGGTTCCTCAACAAGAACCATGCTGTCCTGAGTCGTTTGGCGAAGTCTTGGGAGCGTGTTTACACCCAGGCCAATGCCATCCCAGCCAACCGTAGGTGGTCCGACATCAAGGGGCCCGTCTCCGCTATCATGTCCTCTCTCTCCTTGACCTTGGGTGGGACACTCCTGGGCTTCTCGGGTGGCAGCGCTGGGAGGCCCCCGCGCAAAATCCTGCTGCTTTCGCCTCTGTGCTCGCCTTTTTCGATCCCGCCGACCTGGCCGCCGCACGCGCCTCCGTCGAGAGAGAGCCGTAGGCGGCAGGAGCGGTCGCCCGGCACCTGGGAGGGGGTTTGCTGGAAGGCGTGGGTTCGTTGAGCCCCCGCCAACACCTGAAGAATCTCAAGAGTTCGAGCGTAGATCTGCCACCAAGTGCGCCGCAGCAGCAGCAGCAGCACCAGCAGCAGCAACAGCAGCAAGCATGTGGCCAAGACAACTCGTGGCGAAATGTGTTACTGGAGAGTTTGGTCCCGCCTGCCCTAGGCGCGGGTTCGCCCCAGTAAGGCACCGCCCGCGTTCAGGAGTGCAGATGCAATTCAGATTTGCCAGAATGTGCCGAATCGGATGACATAGTCGAAGCTGCCAACGTCGCCCTCGATTCTAATACCAACGACAACGCTTGGCTCAGAGGGCTGATCCCCGTGTTCCCTGGTTTCCGTGCCCCCTTTCCACGACACCGCCGAACCGCACGACGTCACGTACCCAACAGATGACGTTGCGAGTCTCTCAGCCGAGCGCCTTCTGCGCAGTTCTTTTTGGGAGGCGCCTCTGGACTTGTTGGGACGCTTCTGTGCGGGAGGAGGATCAGGAGGTGAGCGTGCTAAGGACCCTAGGTTGCGTATATGTGCCTGGGCGTGGATCGAAGTCCAGGGCCAAGGGAGCGGTTGTTTTGTTGCTCGCGGGAGAAGCGCTGGCCTGACAGGCAGGCGCCAGACCAGTATCAGAGCGGAGCTTCAAACATGTTTAGATTGTCCAGAAACCGCCTCGGACAACATCACCTCCCCGTCGCTCGGACGTCCATTCACTGTTGTTCCCAACCATCCTGTGGTGTTGGGTCCTCGTTTTGAAGAGACAGCGCCCCGCGTTCACTCCTCCCGCTGCCCGCGCCCGCATGCGTCACCCACACCCAATTCGGCACACCCCTCACACGCTTCGTGGCCCCATAGGGAGCTCCACCGAAGGCCCCAGTGCCCGCGCCCGCATGCGTCACCCACACCCATTTCGGCACACCCCTCACACGTTTCGTGGCTCCATAGGGAGCTCCACCGAAAGCCCCAGTGCCCGCGCCCGCATGCGTCACCCACACCCATTTCGGCACACCCTCACACGTTTCGTGGCTCCATAGGGAGCTCCGCCGAAGGCCCCAGTGCCCGCGCCCGCATGCGTCACCCACACCCATTTCGGCACACCCCTCACACGTTTCGTGGTGGCTCCATAGGGAGCTCCACCGAAGGCCCCAGTGCCCGCGCCCGCATGCGTCACCCACACCCATTTCGGCACACCCCTCACACGTTTCGTGGCTCCATAGGGAGCTCCACCGAAGGCCCCAGTGCCCGCGCCCGCATGCGTCCCCCACACCCATTTCGGCACACCCCTCACACGTTTCGTGGCTCCATAGGGAGCTCCACCGAAGGCCCCAGTGCCCGCGCCCGCATGCGTCACCCACACCCATTCGGCACACCCCTCACACGCTTCGTGGCTCCATAGGGAGCTCCGCCGAAGGCCCCAGTGCCCGCGCCCGCATGCGTCACCCACACCCATTTCGGCACACCCCTCACACGTTTCGTGGCTCCATAGGGAGCTCCACCGAAGGCCCCAGTGCCCGCGCCCGCATGCGTCACCCACACCAATTCGGCACACCCCTCACACGTTTCGTGGCCCCATAGTAGAAGCTCCGCCGAAGGCCCCAGTGCCCGCGCCCGCATGCGTCACCCACACCCATTTCGGCACACCCCTCACACGTTTCGTGGCTCCATAGGGAGCTCCACCGAAGGCCCCAGTGCCCGCGCCCGCATGCGTCACCCACACCCATTTCGGCACACCCCTCACACGTTTCGTGGCTCCATAGGGAGCTCCACCGAAGGCCCCAGTGCCCGCGCCCGCATGCGTCACCCACACCCATTTCGGCACACCCCTCACACGTTTCGTGGCTCCATAGGGAGCTCCACCGAAGGCCCCAGTGCCCGCGCCCGCATGCGTCACCCACACCCATTTCGGCACACCCCTCACACGTTTCGTGGCTCCATAGGGAGCTCCACCGAAGGCCCCAGTGCCCGCGCCCGCATGCGTCACCCACACCCATTTCGGCACACCCCTCACATCCGCCCGCATGCGTCGGCACACCCCTCACACCCAGCTCCGCCGAAGGCCCCAGCGCGCACACACCCTCACACGTTTCGTCCAGCTCCAATTTCGGCACACCCCTCACACGTTCGTGGCCCCATAGGGAGCTCCACCGAAGGCCCCAGTGCCCGCGCCCGCCACACACCCATTTCGGCACACCCCTCACACGCTTCGTGGCTCCATAGGGAGCTCCACCGAAGGCCCCAGTGCCCGCGCCCGCATGCGTCACCCACACCCATTTCGGCACACCCCTCACACGTTTCGTGGCTCCATAGGGAGCTCCACCGAAGGCCCCAGTGCCCGCGCCCGCATGCGTCACCCACACCCATTTCGGCACACCCCTCACACGTTTCGTGGCTCCATAGGGAGCTACATGCGTCCCGCACACCCATTTCGGCACACCCCTCACACGTTTCGTGGCCCCATAGGGAGCTCCACCGAAGGCCCCAGTGGGTGTGCCCGCATGCGTCCCGCACACCCATTTCGGCACACCCCTCGTACGTTTCGTGGCCCCGTAGGGGGCTCCACCGAGAAGATATTCACAATTGCAATATTCACAATTGCATATGGTTGGGTCCTTCGCCAGGATAATTGTTCTTCTTCTTTTTTCGGCTTCGTGCGTGGACTCTTCGCAGGATGATCCAGGATGCTCCTGAATAGTCCCCATCCGAGAAAAAGTGCACACGTCCGAGCGATGCCGAATCAGTTTCCTCACCGAGAGCTCTTACGTGGAACGAGGTTGGCACAGGTTGTCCTGCACGTGCAGCCCAAAACCTAAATCGGCACTGTGGCGTACGATCTCTCGCAGCCCCCGATCAACAAGGGCATGCCGTTGCAATCGAGGTCGACGGCCACGCTGACTCGGATCGATTCAGGGCCAGTGGCCTCCCAGAGACGCCTCGCCTTGCAAACCAGGAAGCAAAGAGGATCGCGGGAGGGGAAGCCTCCCAGCGCCGAGTGCCTCAGGATGTTGCCGACGGAGCCATTGGCATAGACGCCATCGCTTCTCAGGTCCGATCCCGCCTCGCAGCCACCCGACTTGCGTCTGGCAGTAACGGCTCCAGGCAGAGGGCAAAGAGAACGGGCCAAACCACTCGAGGGCGCTCGGAGAATCGGCATGTCCAGCCTAGGAAAGGCCCCCGCCTCTTCCCCGCGCCGCCCCAGTTTTGCACATGTCTGGGGATATCGTATCACGTGTGCCGCTTGCAAACAGAAGCCATCTCGCAGCTCAGTTGTCCATGGCTCGGCACCCAGTGCATTTCGACTGACCCTCTTGCAGCCCCTTCCTCCCGAGCCGCTCGCTCCATCTGCATCCGCAACCAAGAGGTGCGCAACTGCGTCAGTATCTCGACTACGCAGACGGGTGGGAGCGAACCAGCTGTGGGGCCATAGGTATGAACCGAGCCATGCAATGCCTCGTCCTCGTCCTCGTCCTCCGCGAAGACCGCCGTAATCGACCTGCGGGTCGCGTAGATGTTGTGCACGCGTGCATGCCATGCAAGGCCTTGTTTGGGAGTACTCGCATCACATACCCTCCAAAGGCGAAGATCACCTGCGCAAGCTTCGCAAGAGACTGCTGCCGGAGAGCTCCGCCCGCGCGACGTCCTTCAACGCCAAGGCCCGCGCGGGGATGGGAGCGGTGGCCCACGTCCCTCCCCCCCTCCCCCTTCCTCACTCTCTCTGTGAGCTCGGTGGAACGCTCAATGCAAAATCCTGCTTCCGCTCCTGCTCCTGCTCCCGCTCCCGCTCCCGCTCCTGCTCCTGCTCCTCCTCCTCCTCCTCCTCCTCCTCCTCCTCCTCCTCCTCCTCCTCCTCCTCCTCCTCTCCTCCTCATCCTCCTCCGCGACCTCCCGAGCGGCTTCCTCCTCGAGCTGGTCCTCCTCCTCCTCCTCCTTCTCCTCCGCCGCCTCCTCCTCCTCTTCCTTCGCGGCTCCTAGGACCTCCCAGACTTCTGGTCTCGTCATATCGCTCGGAACGTAGATCCCAGGAGGTCTGGACCCCTTCCCCGAGACCTGTTTTGTTCACCTCGATCTGTTGTTTGACTGTCCCTGGCCCCGAAGAGGGCCCCCAAGAAGCAGACAGTTGTCAACAACGTCCGTCGTAGTTTTTCTCCACCAGAGGAAGTGGACACTCCTCCTCCTCCTCCTCCTCCTCCTCCTCCTCCTCGTCCTCCTCCTCCTCCTCCTCCTCCGCCTCCTCCTCCTCCTCCTCCTCCCTGGCCCGAGGGCCTGCGTGCCCACCACGGGCACCATGGACGAGGCGAACCACCCCACGGTGTTCAGGGAGGGCATAAAGGGCTGGACCGCGAGCAGGTCCTGCCCGGCGGCAGGTGGCGGAGGAGGAGGATGAGGAGGAGGAGGAGGAGGAGGAGGGCGGAGGAGGAGGAGGAGGGCGGAGGAGGAGGAGGAGGAGGAGGAGGAGGAGGAGGAGGAAGGAGGAGGAGGAGAGGAGGAAGAGGTCCTCCTCCCTCCTCCCCCTTAGTTCCTGTCGTTTCAAGTGCGTTGGCGCCGTCTGCCGCCCCCTCATTCATGTGCGCTGGGCTGCCCTGGGGCTCGGGGCCGGGCCTCCCTCCACTGGGGAGGGCGTCGGACATCTGCACAACAACTGCGCCTCGGCTCTCGGGGTGAGAGCCATCATAGAGGTAGGTGGGGCCTGTCCCCCTACAGGGGGATTTTGGCCGAAGCATGAAAACATATTCAAAAATACACCCCAAATGCTCAAAAATAGTCACCACAAATAGTCCCCTGACTATTTCTGACTGTTCTTGAATTTTCCCCCTGTAGAAGGACAGGCCCGGCTTAATCATAGAGCAACAAACAACGGCATAAGCACAAACATGTGCAGGCCCGCGCGGAACTCCAAAAGTCCATGGCTGTGTCGTTTTTCTTCGTCGACGTCGGCCAGACTTGGCGGCGCGCGCAAGTGGGAGGTTGGGAAAGGCTTCTCAGAAAGAGGCTGCTCCTTAGAAGGTGCTGGCCGTACATGCATTTACGGACAAGGCCAGCGCCTTCGAAGAAGCAGGGACGTTTCTGAGAAGCCTGCCCCCCTCTCCCTGACCCCCCTCTGCGCGCGGCTGGCACTCGGCACGAAGACCGCCTCTTGAGCAGGGGCCGACAGTCCTGGCATTCCTATAGTCCTACCACGAAATGTTCTTAGAACCCGGAAGCGTTCTAATAACAAAAACAATGTTCTTAGAACATTAACCCGATGTGTTAAAACAAGACCGTCTCAACCAGAAATGTTCGAAGAACATTTCGGGGAAACCACAGAAGGTTCTCAGAACATTGCTTGGTAGGGCTATAGGTGAGCCAAGACGCTTCGCCATTGCTTGAGCCTCAGTGCCGGCGTCGACCCGCCCCTCCCTGCTCCACTCTCCGCGCCGCCCTCCTCCGGCGCCCGGCCGCCCGTCCCCGTCCGGCAGGTCGAGCAGCTCGGAGCGCATGCTGTTGACGGCCTCCTTGGAAGCCACGCCCACCTCCGCGGACACGGTGACGTGGGAGCACCTCGAAGGAACGAGGACGATGACGATGACGATGAGGACGAGGACGAGGGCGATGATGATTATGCTGGTGATGTTGATGGCAACGGTGATGATGATGATGATGATGATGATGATGATGATGATGATGATGATCACGATGATGATGATGATGATGATGATGATGATGATGATGATGATGATGATGATGATGATGATGATGATGATGATGATGATGATGACGATAACGATGCTGATGATGCTGGTGGTGATGACGATGATGATGACGATAACGATGCTGATGATGCTGGTGGTGATGACGATGACGATGACGATAACGATGCTGACGATGCTGGCGGTGATGATGCTAACGACGATGATCAGACCCACCCTCGTGTGTCACATCGCCTGGTTAGAGCTTCGAGAAGCGCTGGGCTTGGCCATAGCACGAGCTCTGCGTCGGAGCAGCCTTTCGAACCTCCCAGGCCCACAGAAACCCTTGCTCCTTTGAGCATTGAACGCCGAGAGCAAAAGATCATGCACGAGAATGCAGCCATGCAAAGCAGTGGAGGAGGAAGGGATATAGGGGAATCCCACCAGCCCTTTGGGCGGAGGTGGTTTAGAGAGCCCGTTCTGTTCCACCCCCTTCTTCCCTTTCGGGGAGGGGCTTAACAATTCCTCTATATGAATACTACTCTCCTCCTTCCCCTGATGACGGGTTGGGAATGTTCGCCCCCCCCCGCGTACTGTTTTTTTACACACAGGATTCCCCGGAGTTGGGTGTTCGCCTGCATTTTTTTTCAAAATGCTGCTCTCGCTGAGGCGCCGTCCTCATTTTCGGGCCCCGCTCGTTCCGAATCGTGCTCTCGCTGCAGCGCTGGCCTCATTTCCGTGCTTCCGCTCGTTCCGAATCGTGCTCCCGCTGCAGCGCTGGCCTCATGTCCGCGCTTCCGCTCGTTCCGAATCGTGCTCCCGCTGCAGCGCTGGCGTCATTTCCCGTGCCATGCCACGGCATGCAATGCAATGCTAGGTTGCGTTCCGCTGCGCGATGCCATGCCTTCAGCTGAAGCTGTGATATGCAATGCTTAAGTGCCACGTCGTGCTATGCCATGCTACGCTTTGATCTTCAACGCCATGCTATGCAATGTTATGTTCGGCGCCGCTGTGCGATGCCATCCTTTGCGTTGCAAAACTTTGTGATGCAATTCTTCACTACGCCACGCCACGCCATGCTGTGACATACTACGCTTTGCGGTGCTCTTCTACGCCATGCCATGCCGTGCTCTACATTGCATCGCGTACCCTTTCGGGATCATCGCCCTGCTCGACATCCGACTGTGCGAGTAGAGAGGGGATCTACGCCATGGTAAGGGATGGGAGGGAGGGGTAGGATGTCAGATATGACACGAGCGCACCTAGCTTGCCCCTCCCCCTCCCCCTCCCCCTGGGTCTGCAGGGGGGCCACGGGTTGTTAGAGGATTTGCGTTGGCCAAAGATGGCGCCAAGACAGCCCAAGAGAGCTCAAGATGACCTCCAAGATCGCTTAAGATAGCCCTCGACGGCTCAAGATAGCTCCTAGCAAGCCTACGCGACGTTCCAAGACCGCCCAAGGACGACCCCAAGTGGCCACGGAACCTCCCAAGGACGCCCCCGAGAGGCCAAAATCCTTCTCGCCTTCTCGCTTTCAATTGGCCCTTGCGGTTTCAAGATGGCCCCAATATGGCCCAAGAGAGCCCCGAGACAAGCCCCAGAGAGGCCCAAGACGGGCCCAAGAGCGGCACAAGAGGGCCCCGAGAGGCGACTTTTCGGGTTCCGAAAGAGGGGGGGGGAAACGTAATTAACCCCACGCTCCTTTTCGAGCCGTGGCCTCAGAGATGGTCCCAAGCGACCTCCGACCCCCCCTAAGAGCCCCAACAGGGCCCCAAGACCCCCTAAAAGAGCCCAAAGGGTGCTCCACGAGGCATCACGAGGACCCCAAAACGGTCCAGAGACCCCCTGGTCCGCCTCGTCCCTTCTCCCACTGTCCCCATAAGAATGTACAACAGAAAGTAGGTCGGATGTGGGCGGAAGAGGAGGAGATATGCGAGAGCAGGAGGAGACACGCCCGAAAGTCACGACCGTCGGTGTGCGGGCAGAGGGTGCTGTTTTGGGGTGTGCTGGTGGGGACACGCGAAGCGTGAACAATCTACATAAGAGCCTCTCGTATCCCCTAGGATGACTGTACCAAGCAGGGAGAGAGGGGATCACGTCACAGAGAAGGGGCAATGCAAACTAATAAAAAAGGTAGTGAAGAAAATGGTCTCCGCCGACCGCTCCGCACCCACACCTGCAGCTGATGGTGCCCTGCTGGTAGCGAGCAGTGGCTGGCCAAACGTTGTTCACACCCCTTAGGATACCCACGCCAAGAAAAGGGCAGATTTTACATGCAGCCCTGGCACTGGTAAAAGCTTCGCGGCTAAACTGGTGCCATTGGGGCTCATGAAAATGATCAGGCATAGGTAAGGCGGCGAACCCTCGGCACGAGCAAGTGGCACATGGAAGGGGAGTGGATCTCGCCGAGGAGCTTCCAAACCATATTCCTCTTCCTATATTTTTATAAGCCCGGGCGGGGGGGAAACCCGTCACCCGCCCCCCCCCCAAACTGGACTCCCAGGATCTGGGGCTTTGGGACCCTCCGGACGGGCCTCGAAGCGGTTCCCGGGCCTCGCAGGGCGTTTTGCCAAGCCTTCCCAGGACACCTAGGGCGATCAGGGGGGTCATCGGAGACGTCCCAGGGACCCCCAAGACAGCACAAGAGCGCTCCAAGAGTGACCGACGTGACCTCAAGATGGCCCAAGAGGCCTCCAGGACGGCCCCAAAGAGGCCTCCAAGAGCACTCCCAAGAAGGCCCTCAGGGGCACAAATAATTGATTATCTGTTGGTTTTTGGTGAATTTTGGGGTTCTCCTCTTTTCGGCTTCCCGACACTCCAAGACGGCGGTCTTCGGGGCGTCCCAAGCCGCCTGGGAGGCTCCAAAATCGCCCCACAACCATCCGAAAGGGCTTCCAGGCAGTCCAAGAGAGCCCCAAAACGGCACAACACGGGTCCAACATGGCCCTCAGAGAGCCCCATGGCGACCCAAGATGGCCCAAAGACACCCTCCGAATCATTCCAAATCGTGACCCGGTCGTTCAGGGAGACCGCGGTTGGAGGCAGGGTGGCCCGAGGAAGCCCCAGAGGCCCCCAGAATACGCCCAGGAGGCCTCCAGAAGACCTTAAGGACGCCTGAAACAACTTTTGTGATGCCCCCAGATGCTCTCCAAGAGGGGGCCTCCGCAGAAAAAAACTGAGGAGGATGGCGAAAGTAAGGGAAAAGAAGCATGGAGGAAGGATAACGAATAACATTATTATAGCGGCGATGCCGGAAAAGGCAACAAAGAATTATCGCTAAATTGTCGGCTTCGCCTTCCTGCTATTCCGCCTGCATACCAAACTTCAAGGACCAAGGTGCATGGCGCGAAGCGCCACTGCAGTCTTGTATATATTTGTATATATATATATATACATATATATATATATATATATATATATATGTGTGTGTGAATGTGTGTGTGTATATATATATATATATATATATTATGTGCCTCTTCCTATATTATTGTAAGCCTGGGCGGGGGGAAAACCCGTCCCCCCCCCAAACCGGACTCCCGGGATCTGGGGCTTTGGAACCTCCGGACGGGCCTCGAAGCGGTTCCCGGGCCTCGCAGGGCGTTTTGCCAAGCCTTCCCAGCACACCTAGGGCGATCAGGGGGGTCATCGGAAACGTCCCAGGGACCCCCAAGACAGCACAAGAGCGTTCCAAGAGTGACCGACATGACCTCAAGATGGCCCAAGAGGCCTCCAGGACGGCCCCAAAGAGGCCTCCAAGAGCACTCCCAAGAAGGCCCTCAGAGGCACAAATAATTAATTGTCTGTGGGTTTTGGTGAATTTTGGGGTTCTTTTCGGCTTCCCGACGCTCCAAGACGGCGGTCTTCTGGGTGTTCGAAGCCGCCTGGGAGGCTCCCAAATCGCCAACCATCCGAAAGGGCTTCCACGGGTCCAAGATGGCCCTCAGAGAGCCCCATGGCGACCCAAGATGGCCCAAAGACACCCTCCGAAGCATTCCAAATCGTGACCCGGTCGTTCAGGCAGACCGCGGTTGGAGGCAGGGTGGCCCGAGGAAACCCCCAGAGGCCCCCAGAATACGCCCAGGAGGCCTGCGGAAGGCCTTAAGGAAGCCTGAAACAACTTTTGTGAGGCCCCCAGAGGCTCTCCAACGAGGAACCTCCGCAGAAAAGAGCTGAAGAAGATGGCGAAAATAAGGGCAAAGAAGCATGGAGGAAATATCACGGATAACATGATTACAGCGGTGATGCCGGAAAAGGCAACAAACAGATATCGTTAAATTGTCGACTTCACCTTCCTGCTATTCCGCCTGCATACCAAACTTCAAGGACCAAGGTGCATGGCGCGAAGCGCCACTGCAGCCTTGTATATATATATATATATATACATATGTATATATATCTGTATGTATGCATTAGCGCCGTATGTCGTGAGTCCTCATCGAGTTCGGGGCAGAAGTTGGCCAGGTTCATACACTTGCGCAACAGGGAGAAACGCACGTGACCAGCCGCTCGACATCTGTTTCCCCACTGGTAAAGCTGAATCAGAAACTCGTTAAGTGCAGGACTTTGAAGTTGGCCCGATGCGCGCTGGCTTTGCTAACGCACTCCAAGTGCCGAGCGCGGACAGGAGTCCCAAGACTATCAGCATACCGAACCCTATCAGAGTTGAGCGCATACCTGGGGGCACGCGTGAGCCTCTGCAGCCCTGATTCCTCGAGACACTTGCGCCGTTTGGTAATCGGATACACGCTCATGATACAGCTGAGAACATTGAATGCAAACGAACTGTAGCAACCAGGCTTTGAATGCACCCGAGACAGAAACGAATAATGCATCCGATACGCTCCAGATGCTTCTGACTGGGGGAAAACCAAGGCCGACGGGGCCCACCAGGCCCAATCCAAATTCCAAGATAGAGCCCACAGCTAGAAATAAAAATCCCTGAAATATCAATTCTAAGATTTAGGAACATTCCGCGGACGTCCGCCTCGGCGCACTCGCGGGCAAAGACGAGGGCGGCCTCGCCTTTGTTCGGCCGAAGTCCCGCAAGGTGACCCACCCGCCACGTGGGGCCCAGGGGCAGAGAAACAGCGCTGACACAGGCGGCACATGCCACTCCTACATCATCGGCGAAGGCGCGCGGGCACGCCCCCAATAGGTTCTGCAACTTCTGCGCGCGACGCGTCGCGGGGTCGAAGCCGATGGCGAAGAGAATCCCCGAGAGAGGCCGCCCCTGCTTGACCCCGCTGGAAGTCCAATAGCCGAGAAACGCGGACCCCCCAGGAATACGTCGGTGTATTTTCCCGAGTTGAGTTGCCGAGCCGCGCGCAAAACACGAGCGGGAACTTCGCGGGCCCCCAGCGCCCGCAAGATCCAGGATAGGGCCGGGGAGGGGAAGGCGGCGCGGATGTCTATCAGCAGCAAACCTGCCTGTGGACAACCCAAGAAGCAAGCGCGCTGAATCAGCGCGGCTCCTATCGATGTAACCGGGCCCAACAGATTCCGCCCTTGAATGAATCCCCTTTGCACTTCAGAGAGAGCGCATTGCACTTGGGCCTGGAAGGGGGGCCCGAGGGAACTGGCCAGAATCTCATTGTCGGCACTGGAGGTGATGGGTCGGGCTTTGCCGGCCGGCTCGGCGATTTCCCCCGACGCTCCAGGGGGGCATCTTTCGGCGGAAAAAACTGAGGCGCATGATTCACGCCGCGGGGCACAGCGCCGAGGCTCATCATGTCGGTGCACGCGCCGTACATAATCCCCCAACTTATGACTCGCGTGCTATAGGGCACTCCATCGGGGCCATAGGTCGAATCTTCTTCGCATCAATAACACCACAGACCGAACCAAGTCGATCGCCCAGGAGTGATACCAGGAGAGCCTTCTAGAACCTCGGGAATCAGCGCGGCAATAATGGGGTCGTAGGCGGGTGGGCACTATCCGCGGCAGAATGCACTCCGCGCCAATGTTCAGCGAGCGCCTATGCGCTCTCCTCTAGGCTGCCACAGACCCGACCAGAGGGGGCGGGCAACTCCAACGAGCGAAAGCCGCCGCCGACGGGGAGACTAGCTTCGGAGGAGCTTGCGAAGGTAAAGCGCGCGTTCGTGATCGCGCCCGTCTCGCCCTGCCCCCGGCAGCCCACCTATCGCACCGTGGATCCATTCGCTATTGATCATTCCCAGGAGTTGGCGAAAACTACAATGATCAGATAAAGAACGCGCCTCGGGATTAATGAAGTCCTGGAGCTCGGGAAGTGCGGGAAGACATGTATGAACTGCAAGGCGATGCTGCGCGCGGCCAGCTCTCGCCACCTTCAGACATGCAGCTACCTTCTGCTTGGAATGTCCTGTCCGGAACGCGCGGCCCGTGATCTCCTCGCAGGCCGCGAAGTGGCAGCCCTTGGATGCCCGAATTGTTTGATGAGCGTGGCCAGAAGGGTGGGCAGCTTCCAGGAAACCGCAGACATACTCCCCAATATCAGAGCGCTCGGCAACCCAGGGCGCGATCGATGGGGGGCCTCGGGATCCAGGGGTAGGCGCCGCACAAACCGGAACACGGTCGGGAGGTTCGGCTGCGTCTAACGCGCCCCCCTGGTTTCCAGACTTTGGGCGAAGGTCAAGCGGCTCAGCGGCGGCGGGAGTTGAAGCGCGCGCGGTCGAGTCTGTCCAATGATGCCGCCGCGTCTCACGCTGCAGACCTGCGAGAGCCACCACCCTGGGGAACCTCCAGGAAACGCAGACAAGACCTTCCGAAATGCCGCACCAAGTCCTTGGGTTCGGCGCCAGGGGGGGATTCCATCGACATGGTGCCGAGAATCGTTTTCCTGCAGGAAATTCCAATCGCCCCCCCAATGCATGTAAGACAGGGCCCAGGAGAAGAGAGAGCGCGAGCAGCTATAGCCATGATATTGCACGCGGGCCGTTGGAGAGAGACGAGGTTCGACGCGTGCTTTCGCGATCATCGCGTTCCCGTGGCGCCCGCGGGGCCCGATTCCAAAACGCCCGCCCGCGAGAACGCCCCGCGGCAGGCCAACTTCGTCGAAGTTGGCCCCCCCGAAGAAGTCTTCTGACGAGCCGAAGTGGGAGAAAGAGGGATACAACCGTCGAAAGGGTTTCAAGATCTGCCGGAGTACTGTGGTTGTCCTGGCACCACGTCGAACTTTCTGATGAGCATGCCCGATTTTGAGAATGGGCGAGCTGCCTGCGACGGCGACCGAAAACGCCCCCATAGAGAGCTCACGGACTCCCGGATACGACGCCGAAGGCTCGGCGAATTTGGCAGGGGCTCGACCTGGGGCTGCGAGCTCACGCAGATGGCAGGCCACCCCCGCCCCTTCCAAAGACTCCGGCAGCAGCTGCACTGTCTCAGGCAAAAAGTTGGCGGAGGCATGCCTGGGAAAGTCCTACTCAAGTGAGCTCGAGCTGGGCTGCCCCCCCGAGGGTCTCAGCGCGGGCCCTGGGGATGTCGAAGCGCACGAGGTTGGGGATGTTGGGGGCAACCTCGGGTGCCTTGCCGCGCCCGGTGTCGTCGACCGACAGGAGCTCCCAAGCATCATGACTCTCGGTCGTGTACAGCTGCCCATCTTCATAGAAGAGCGCCTTGCATTCTTCTCAACGAGGCCGGCCTTGACGAGGGCGCGTGCCAGGCCAAGGACGTAGCTCATCTGGCGGACGGGCAGCGGGTTATCGCGGCCGACCCTCAACTCGCGGCACTTCTGGTCACGCGGGTCGGCCCAAGAGATCGTGAACCCTCTGCTGAAGGCCCAGACCTGGTAGGCTACCTCTTTGGTCGAGAGCTTGAAGGCGTGCGAATACTGGAAGTTCCACCCTTGGAAGGACATGTTGGCGCCGATCTCCCGGGACATCTTGGTCTTCGCGAGCTGGAAACTAATCTCCATCTGCGATGCCATCAACGGTCTCTTGAAACCACGAACCCAGAGCTTATGCGGGTCAGCGTCGTCTCCTCGGTGAGCCGCGGCACCTGGGGCCCCGAAACTGGCGTGCTTCGTGACCCTGGCCGCCGACTCCGTCACTCGGGCCATGGGTCGCTGCGAACCGAGCTTCCCAATGATCCAGCTGCGGTCGATGACAGGGCAACTCAACTTTGACCAGACGAGATGTCAGCTCAGCCTCAAGAGTGGCAATGGAGGTCTTCTGTCGAACAGCTCGAAAGTGTGCTCCACTTTCTCCTTGTCGTCAATGGCCACCGCCATCTCAAGCGCGGCGAGCTTGGCGGGCTGACGGTCCAGGTCGGTCTTCATGTCTGCGACGTGCTTGCCGAACTGGTCCATCCGCTCGCTCAGCCTTTGGTCCATGCGCTGGACTTCGCTCATCCGGGTCTGGAACTGGCCAGTGAACAAATCGAGACGGGTGGTGGTCGGCTGCAGGCAGCCCATCATCAGCATCTTGAAGGTTTCCATATCGATTGCGGCCATGGCGGAGGGATGGACGGCGCAGTGATGGAAGCCAGAACATAGCGTGCTTTGGCGCACGGCAGGGAGTGTGAGACCGAACCTCAAGAATGGGACGCTCGATTATCCCTTCGGCGGCGTCCAAGTTCGAAGCGCCACGGACACGTTTCGAACTTGAGCCAAAACGGCTACGGCTGAGCAAAAGGGTGAGCAAGAGCAGGGGGTCAGGAGCGGGAGCGGGAGAGAAGACATCCGGGAGGAGAAGCACGATGGCACCGCAAGCTGGATCCCACCGGCCCCTTGGGCGTAGGTGGTCTAACGAGTTCTTCCTGTCCTCTTCCACGACCTCCTTCTTCCCCTTCAGGGGGGGGCTTGCCCCTCCCCCCCCTACCCCGTCCCAGGGGTCTGGATGGGCGTGGCACGGAGGTGTCCGGGAATCCTTTTTCGCCCAGGATGAGTACCGGTGCTCCAATATGGCCTCCCAAACTGCTCAAGATAGCCGAAGATGGTTCAAGATAGCTTCCGACATACCTTCAAGAGGTCCCAAGATGGCCACAAGACGGCTCCAAGTGCTCTGGGAGCCACTCAGGATGCCCCCAGCCCTGCGAAAGCCTCAGGAACATCAGTGAACGGTGCCTCCTCGCCTTTTCCCCAAAAGAACCCCAAGAGGACCCCAAGAAGATCAGCTCTCATCGGCAGCGTTTCTGAATGGGCTGGTGGGGATTCGCGAAGCACGAAAAATAAGGACTCCTCCTCTGCCTCCTCCCATTGCCGCCCTACTTGTTCGCATCGCTTGGGGTGCATGTCCGACGCGAAGTACGGCGGATCCGAAGTCAGAATGTACCGCCGCCCCTCTCTCTCTGCGTCCGCGTGCTGGCGCTGAGTGGTCGTTGCCAATCGGCCGATTCCTGGCCACCAGCCGCAGCCCACCCGGAACGCCCGCGCTGGGGCCGCCGCCCGCAGCAACGCCACACGAACCCACCGCCGACCTCCGCCACTCATCTGCGAGGCGGCGTGCGGGCGGCGCTCTCGTCCCGCCCCCTCTGCCCCCCCCCCGCCCTCCCTTCTTCCCCCCTCCCCTGCCTCCCTGGGCTGTCTCTCTCCCCCCCCCTCGCTCTCCCCCCTCGCTCCTCCCCCTCTGCCCCCCCCCCCCCCCCGCCCTTCTTCCCCCCTCCCCTGCCTCCCTGGGCTGTCTCCCCCCCCCTCGCTCTCCCCCCTCCCCCTCCCCGCCCAGCGATCTCGCCGCGTGGGGCCGACGCTCCGCCCTGGCCGCCGGCCTCACGCCAGGGGCCCAGACCCCCGACGCCATATGATCTTTTCACGACGCGACCCCCGGGAGGTCCAGACCCCTTCCCCGGGACCGGCTCTTCATCCCGAGTCGTTTTTCGACGGTCCCGAGGCCCGGTAAGGGCCCCCAGAGGCCGAAAATAGTGGAGAACCTCCAGCCGTGATTTTTTCACGACTCGAGGAGGTCTGGGGGGGAGGGGGCTCCATCCACCGCGGCCGTGCCGTGGCTGTCCGTGCTCCCCCTCGATTGCCGCCAGCCCCCGGAACTCCGCCGCCGCGCGTCTGTCGCAGCATGGACCCCAGGAGTTGCCTGGGCCTTTTCTCCGTGACCGGTGGCCCACCCCGAGCCGTCCCTGACAGCCCCCAGGCCCGATGGGGCCCCCAGAGGCCGGGAACGGCCCCCCAAGCTGGCGGCCGCGAAGTTTTCACGGATCCATACCTCAGATCCCTGGCGTCGAGCCATACCTCAGATCCCCGGCGGCCGTTCGGGACGATGCGGGCACCCCGGGAACGCTTCCGGCGAGGCGCGGCTGCTGGAACACACCCCGAGGCAGGAGCGCCCCCAGCAACCGACGGAAACGCTCGAGAACGTCGAAGCTCCGAACCTCGACCTCGGGGGGGTTCTAAGGCTTCGGGCTGCGCACAGACTGACTACCCACCAGACCACCCCAACCCGAAGACCCGAAGACCCGAAGTTCGGGTTGGGGGTGGGTGCGGGTTCCATATGTGCTTTACAGTGTTCCCCGACCCCCCCCCCCCCCACTGGACATGGAGGGCGAATCGGGGCCTTCGGGTTGGGTAGGGGTGGGCTGGCGGGTGGTGACAGACAGCCCCCCCCGCAGATACAACAGGCCACCTAAGCTTAGTTCGGGCATGTCCCCCTTCAGGCGGACTTTGGACGAGAAAGGAAAAATACCCCCAAAATGCTCCCAAACGGCCAAAAATAGTCAAGAAATCGCCCCCAGATTTTTTTTGGACTACTTTTGCATATTCCTCCTGTCGAGGAACAGGCCGGACTTGCACCTAAGCAGCGCCCCCCGCAGAGTCCGGCGAGGTCTCGGGGCCCGAGCCTCGGGGCGCGAAGCGCCACCTCAGGGGCGCCGCCAGAAGCGGGGCCGGGGCATCGAGGCAGCCCGGGGCTGCTCGGGGGGCCCGTCCCCAGACCTCTGGCTCTCCGGGATGCGTGGGCCCGGGATGCGTGGGCCCGGGGGCTGCTCGGGATGCGTGGGCCCGGGAGGTCCACACCGCTTCCCCAGGGCCGGCCCTTCGACCCGCGTCGTTTTCTCTTCTTGCATCCACAGGGCCCGCAGTGAGGTTAACAAAATGTCGCCCCCCCCCCATGTGCTCCGGGAGGTTCACGCAAAATGCCTGCACAGCACCAATGAAGCCCTCCGAGGGGGCTCAAACTCGACGGGCTGGCAGCCCCCCAAAAACGATTCGACTTGAATCGTATTTTGACGCTCCCGCGGGCCCGTCGAGGGCCCCCCGAGGCCGAAGATAGCCCAAAAGCCGGCCGCTCCAATATTTTGGGAGCGTCGGATCTCTGCGTTGGGGCCAGCTGGGACTACTCGCGGTGCCTGTGGAGGCCAGCCGGCACCTCGGGGGGGGGGCGCTGGCTTGGCGCATCCCGCAACCTTGCCGGTCCTCCCCTCCTGCCATCCTCTCAGCGCCAGCAGCTTAGTCTTAAGTGGGGCGTGTCCTCCTACCGGGGGATTGTCGACGAAAAATGAAAATATTCCAAAAATAACCCCCCAAATGGTGAAAAAATGCACACACACACACACACACACACACACACGCACACACCAAAAAAAACGTCCCCTGACTATGCCTATTTTTGAATCTTCCTCCTGTAGTGGGACAGGCCCGACTTAAGCTTATATAGTCACGATATCCTCGCGCTCGGGCTCAGCCGGTCTGCCTGGCTCTCATCTCCCCTGGGTCTCCTCTCGGCGCTGAGGCCAAGGCAAATCTTGCAGATCGTTGGGGCCGTCTGCAACCTCGCGCCGGAAGCGGGATGGGATCAGCAAGAGGAGCCTCTCCGTCCTGCTCCTCCCGTTGTCTCCCTGCTGCTGCTCCTGCTCCTGTTAGGTGTGTTCGCTCCGGTGCCAGTTGGAGCTGCACGACGCCTCGCGACCCGAGCAAACCAGTACCCCACGGGCACAACATCGAAAGCACGCGCCCGTGGGCAACCCTGAAGGGCAGGGTGGTACACTCTGGATACATTCAACCAGCAGTGCCAATCTCTGATGTAATGTATACAGATCCAGGGAACCCCTTGTGGGCCACCCGCCTGCGAGTCCCAAGTTTTCCGGGACATGAACTACGTGGGCTACTTTCTGTGGGTCAGGCACGTTGACCGCCCTGGGGAAAACGTGTACCTATACGACCATCCTTCGGGTGTCAGGAGGTTGAGGGAAAGAACCAACTGAGGACAACTGCGATGATTGTGGTTGTGATCACGAGGTTGACGACGATGCAAGACGACGATGCTGACGACAATGCGTGATGGGAGTGGGCTGACACACTGGCGATGCGGGCGAATAAGCATGATGAGGATGACTACGGGACATCGACGGGACACCGACGGGACAGCGACGGGACACCACGGGACAGCGACGGGACAGCGACGGGACACCGACGGGACACCACGGCGGGACACCACGGAGGGACACCCCCGGCCACGCTGGCCCACCAGAGGGGCGGTCTTTTGTCTTGGTCCGCCCCCGCCACAGCGGAATCATTCCTCTCGCCCGCCCACGCAACTTCGACTCGCCCGCGCGCACGACACGAACCCGAAACCGAAACCGATTTCCAGGTGGGGGGCTCTCATGGGCTCTCCTTTTTACTTCGATTGCACTCCCCAATCTCCGACTCATATTTCCTGCAAGTGGGTCCTCACGGAGGATTGAAGTACTGAGAGGCCAAGGATTTCGGCTGTACAGTGTACTTGCCGCTGGTCGCGTGACCCCTCCGACATGAAAGTGCGCAGTTTGCATCGCCCAGCCGCGCTCCTTCAACCTGTAATTGCTCAGGGCACCCTTCGCGTCTTAGGGTTGCAATTGGCTGATAAGGGGAGAGATGGGCTTTCCTGGAAAATCATTCAAGTTACGGCGTGGGTTCGAGCGGGGGGAAAGATAGAAGTTCGAGTTCGGAAACCAAGGAAAGCAGAGTTCGAAACAAGTTCGAAAGATCGGGGGGAAACCAACAACAGTTCAAATTGTTTAGCAGTGTTTTGAACAAGTTCGAAACACAGTTCGAAAACAGTTCGGAAAGAGTTCGAAACCAATTCGGGAGTTCACGAACAAATCACACGCGCTCTGAATATGTGAAACATCCCGCTGGCTTTTTTCCTGCTTGCTCCGTCGTGTTGTGCTGGCGCCGTTTCGGCGACCCCTCGCACTCTTCCCGCGCCCTTCCCCCCCTGTCGACGCCAAGGTGCGCCTCCTCGAATTTGTTCGGCATGCTTGCATGTGCGGTCGGCTGTCGACAGTGACGGCTGGGTTCGCAAATTATCTGGCTCTGTGCCCCAGTCAGCCCGATTGACCCGCCCCCTGGAGTCTTCCTTGGGGCCGCAAACAAAAATATGTGAAACATCTTCGCCGCCGAACTTTCTCCAAACTTTCTCCGGACTTCCGGATTCTCGCAACTTTGAACTTGAACTTCCTAGAAGCATTCGCCTCGAGCTTGTTCCGTACTGTGATGTTGATAACATGGGGACCCTCTGCGCCCCCTCC